CTGGGGCGGAATTGGGGTGGGGACTTTGGGGAAGGGGTGGAGTTGGGGCAGGGGCGTGGGCGGGGCTGGGGCCCGTGGAGTGTCCGCTTTTTGGACACTCAAAATATGGTAACCCTACAAGTGGGGCCTTCTCCACAACACCCATCTCTCCTCCTAGCCCAAACCCAAGCCTTGCCAGGGTCCCAAACTTGCTGCACCCAAAGCCTTCCCCCTGCGAGTCCCTTTCTGCCCGGGCCAGAACACTCAAGCCCTTCCCAGCTGGGCTAACACAAAAGCAACGAATTAGGATGATAAAGAATTGAACCAGAAGCCAAGGAGGAAGGGCCCATCTCAGCCCCAGGCCCTGCAGGACCTCTCCCTCCCCAGGAGACCCCTGGGCTGGCTACTCACTATCCTGTGCCGTTGTGTGCTGCTGAAGAAGGTGTCTTGCTCATTGCTCCCTAGGAACCTGCAATCACACACACCAGAACCATGATGGGAACATGCCCCCCAAAGTGCAACCCACAGGACAAGCCATCCTGCTTCCTCTCCCTGAGCCCACAGCCATCCACTTCCCCACCCCATTTTGCCACAGGTACAGCACTGCACTTCACCCATCCAGCCGAGGATGGCCCCTCCCTGCCCTTGCCAGCCCAGCTGCAAAGAGAAGGCACTTGCTGAGGCAGTTCCAACTGGCAGGTCACCTCCTTGGCTTCACCCATCATCTCAGAGGGGCGGCCTATAGAGTCACTCTCCCAGGGTAGTCCTCTCACAGCAGCCTTGCTCTGCTGATCATCAACCCACCCACCCCACCCCTGCCTTTTGTGCACACATGGCTCTTCCTCCCTTCCTTCCTTCCTGTGCCCTGCCAAGTAGTGGTATTTAATTCTTATCCCTTTATTGCTCGGATAGCTTCGGCAGTGCGCTAGGGGTCTCAGGGACACTGACACCAACGTGCTCCCTGCCCTGAAGAGTTTACGATCTAGGCCAGAGGTGGGCAAACTACAGCCCGTAGGCCATATATGGCCCATGGAACAATCCTGCCCGGCCCCTGAGCTCCTGGCTGGGGAGGCTACCCCCGGCCCCTCCCCTGCTGTTCCCCCTCCCCCGCAACCACGCAGGCAGCGCTCTGGGCAGCAGGGCTGCGGGCTCCTGCGGGGCAGCGCAGCAGCATGTCTGGCTCCAGGCAGGAAGTGGGAGGGGGTCGGATAGGGGGCGGGGGCCAGGCTGTTTGGGGAGGCTGCCCTAGCCGGCTGTTTGGGGAGCCTGCCCTACCCAGCCCTCCATACAGTTTTGCAACCTTGATATGGCCCTTGGGCCAAAAATTTTGCCCATCCCTGATCTAGGCAGATAATGTGCACAGGCAGAAAGGGGAAGGCAGACAACAGGCAGCTGCCTGGATGAGCACTCCAGCAGGTGGCGTAACAGGCTTCCCTGTGGGTGCCCTGCAGGCCTGTTGGACAGGGAGAAGAGGTCTCCTCTCTGAGCGGCTTGGGTAACTGCCTGTCCCATAGCCCTTGCCCTCAGGGAGACAGCAGGAAGCTCATTCCAGATGGGAAAGAGGAAAGGTGATCAGCACAAGGAAGCAGGAGTGAATGCATTCCACAGGCTCCCGGGGCTCTTACCATGCTAACTTGTTCACCTTGAAGTGACAAGTGTAGTAGTCCAGGGGCAGATTGGGAACCTCCTCATGCAGCAGGCTGGGGACAGCCAGCCTCTTCGCCACTCTGTCAGACCAGTTTGAAGCCTGATTTGGCAGGGCCTGGGCACAAGCAAGAGAAAAAGGCTCAGGAGGAGGACAACAGCAGCAGCATGGTGCTGAGTCAGCATCCAGGGGCAGAGGAGGGTGGGGGAAGAGACGAGTCCCCAGCTGCATGCACAACAGCATGAGAGGCTGGGAGCACTGGCATGTGAAAGAGGGTGAGTGGAGAAGCACTGAAGGGATAAGGAAGCTCCTCCAGGGCCTGCACAGGAGCTCAACTGCTGTCGTCCAGGACAGTTTTGCTGAGCAAAGCCCACAGGATTGAGGCCTCTGAAAATAGGAGGGTGAGTAAGTAAATACCCCCACTTCCTTTCTTCAGTTCGGTCTCCCTGTAACCTCCATCTGGCTCTGTGCCGTGTCACTGCCCAGCCCAGCGTGTGCAACACTCAGCCAGCGTGGAGTCATCCCCCCTCACAACTCTCCCCCTGTGGCACATGGGAGCAGTGGGATGGCTTCACCCTGGCAACTGGGAGTTCCTCAGCTCTTGCAAGGATGAACTGGGCCCTACAGGGAAGAGGACAAGTCTCGGAAAGACCTTCACCTGCAGTGGGAGCCTCAGCCGGAGATCCTCTGCATAATAACACAGCACGCTCCAGGGGGCATTCAGCAGCACATAGTGCACCACCTTCTTCTCATCCTGGACCACGTGCTGGGAGAGAAGAGGGAAAGATGGCATTAGCCACTTGTTGTACTCAGGCCTGGCATTATAGGCTGGATTCTCAGCTGGGGTGAATCAACAAGGCTCCCTTGAAATTAAGGCTGCTATGTCAATTTATAGCAGCAAGGGGCCAGCCATGCAGAACTCACCTTGGCTGTGCCGTTACTAAGCCTCTAGCTAGGGGGATGTGTACACTGCAAAGAAAAACCCACAGCAGAGCTCAGGCTCACACGATGGGGCTAAAAATATCAGTGTAGAGGTTCCTGCTCAGGCTGGAGCCCAGGGCCCCGAACTGCGTGTCTCAGAGCCTGGGGCTCCAGCCAGAGTAGGAACATCTACACTGCTATCTTTAGCCCTGTAGCGTGAGCCCACATCAGTTGACCTGGGCTTGGAGACTCACTGCCAGGGGTTTTCTTTTGCAGTGTAGACGTGCCTTCAGAACCCTGCAGAGCTCGGGAACTGCGCAGCAGAGGAACACCCGCCATATGCAGCTCCCAGATCACACAGAGCAAGCCGTGCTCCTGTTGGCAGCCACCTCCCAACACTCATCTCCAAAACAGTGCATCTCCCAGCAGGCCAGGCAGCATGAGATGGAAGAGCTCCCCTCCTGGGCCTGCCAGGAGACTCACTAGATGATGGGAGTAGGTTAGACACACTCACCACGTGGCACAAGGTCAATATTATTCCAATGAAAGATCAGCAGATGATTCCTTAGCCACCCACCACAGCCCTGCCTCATTCCCAGCAGGCTGAAATGCTCACTGCTGCCCTGGCCCATTCACTGGGGAGGGGGCCATTTTGGAACAGGGTAAAGTTCTGGCCCCAGGCTCCATCCATTCTGTGGTACTCCGACAGCGGAAAGGGGAGGGAGAGCTTCCTGAAGAGGTATCGTCTGTTATCCCTAATGACATAAATGGTGTGGCAGGTGCGGGCAGGCTAGGCTACACTGGGGGCTCTATGGGCCCCTGACCAGGTTCAGGATAAGGGAAGCGGAAAGGTGATTTACAGACGTTAGTCATTCGTGTCACTTAATGCTCTGCTGGAAGGTGCGCAGATACTATGGTGATGGTATCTAACATGACATAGTAGAAAGGCACCTTTGCCCTCCTCCTGTGCCAAGCACAACTCAGCTGGCCCAGGGGTCCACGCCCATAATTTAGCTCTAACATGCTGCATCATAAACAGAGTCTTGTTTCTACATGAACCAGGTTTCCTCTGCTGGGTGAGCGATGCAGAGTGGACTGACCATGTGTCCTGGCTCCAGTGGGGGAAGAAGGCTCGATTTATCACCACATGCTGGCAGGCTGCCTGTATTGCTGACAGATGGCTGCATTTCCAGTCTCCTCCTCAGACTGCTCAGCCAGCTGGCCCTTTGCTTTCCTTTCCCCACTGAGAGAAGCCAGGACCAAGCCAAGGTGAACAATGAGCTCCCCTTTCTGGAGAGCGTGGCCCCTACACCGTCCGGACGGGGATTACTGAGCAGAGGGGGGAAGACCAGGATCCAATGAACAAAGCAACTCTTCCCCCCAGGACAGGGTGGCCCTGCAGAGCCAGGCTAGTGCACTGATACACAGGGAAGAAGCCTTCCTGGGCACCAGAAAGGATCCAGCTACCTTTTCTATACAGATCCCAGCAGCCTGGAGCTTGTTCAGAAACTTCTTCCGCCAAGTCTTGCGGACATCGACAGCTCTTCTCCACCGGGGCACCTCGCTCTCAGCACTGGTTTCTTCATTCTGTCCCTCCTGCTCCTGGGGGTCTGCTTCCCACACCAGGACGAAGTCTGGGACAAGAAGAGACAGCTTGTGTCCACATCACAGATAGATGGACACTGCAAGGCACATGGGGGCAAAGCTCTTGGAAACCACCCAGCTCATGCTTCATATGCTTCATCTACTTCTCCATCTGCTCCTGCCCGGTGCCCAGCTGATTCTTGTCACAGGGCCAAGTCTTGGTGGAGTAAGATGAGCAGCTTGCAGAAAGGGGCACATGCAGGGAGGAGCAGGCTGGGGATTATAAACCTAAGACCCCTGTCCTTTATGGAATGAGTTTACCACATGTGGCTACAAGAAGATGTACTATCTTACTGCAGCCACAAGGACCAGGGGTCCCGAGACAAACCAGGACAGTCAAGCTAGACAGGGACCTAGTAGACTCCAGATATGCCCAACAGAACTAGTCCAACCAGCAGAACCCATTCAGTTCTGCCCTGTCCACGGAGACTGGCAGGCACATCCCAAGCCAAGGGTATACACGGTGTTGAAAGCAGGGCTGGGGACTTCACCCCTTATTTACAGGTTTCCTTCTTTAAAATAAATAAATACAAAGGCCACCAGCCTCAAAAACACCTCCCCAAAGATCAGCACTTCTCCCTGGGTTGTGCCCTCACCTATCCTGGTGCGTCCATCGCTGAAGACATTTGCAGTGCTCTGCGTGACATGGGTTGCTTGACTTGGTTTGCTCAGCTGGAAAAAAGCATTAACTCATAAGGGGCTTGGGCAAAAGCCCTGCCGAATGCTGACAGGAACTAGCAAAAGGAAGTTAAGGTGCTGCTGGCATCATGCAGTCCCCACCAGGATTCCAGCAGCGAGTGCGACCCCACCGGGGTGCTAGCTAGGACTTATCTAAACTCTCATCTGAGAGAAGGCCTTGGGCTACAGGGCTGCCCTCCTACAGTGAGCATATGCCACTGCCACGGTAATATGAAATAAGTCCATGTGCATACAGTGGGAACTGCTGTTTGCAAACCAGTCTCAGTGCATTTAGTGACTGCCAGGAGACAGGGCCCGCGAACAATGGCCAGCCAGCCTCACCCAGTTTGGAAGTGGGTGGCCTTGTATGCAAGCTTGTCTATTGTTTGGAGCAGCTGATCTCCCTGAACACCCTCTCCTTCATCTTGCCTTTGGATGCAGGCATCCCTGGTGTTGTCCTCCCCCCGCCTCCCAACAGGAACAGGAGCTGTGTTCCCCAGAAAGCCCCTTAGTCATCCCCCATGTGGCAGGAGGTGATGGGCGCAGATTAACCCTCCCTTCCCCCTCACAGCTCTAAATATCCGTCCACAGTAGATTTTATATGCCTACCTCCGAGATTTCAATAGGATCCTGGCTCAGACTACCATAATAAGGCCCTTTGGCATTTTGGTCTTCACCCATCAGGTTGGCATGATCATCTGCTTTGATCTTTTTCCGATGCATCTTGATCCTTCATGCCACCAGCACCTTCTGCTGTTTAGAAACAAATCAGCAAGATGTGAGTGCAGCATGGATGGGCCAAAGCTCCCTCCCACAGGAGGCAGCAGACCAGGCCTCTCAATGTGTGGGGCCACATGCCAGGAGAGATCAAGACACTGATTGCCTCGCTTTCAGGTCCTGATGGTAGAGGTACAGGAGTGCTCTAGTGGTGAGCTGCTTCTTTCCCCTCCCGTTCTGCTGTGGTACATTATAAATGTATTTTGCTACCTTGCTAGACAGTTATTCACTATGTATAAGACTTACCTAATGCATTTTGTTTTAAATAAATGTAGGAGTTTTATTAAAAGATATCAAAGGAAATCCATAAGAGCAGCATTGCTAGCAGTGAGACCTTAGGTTGAGACACTGTACAAAGGAATTGTTACCTTTTGTATCAGAGTGGTTTGAGTGAACACATGCATGCATTACCAGGATGTGTGAGCTTTCTTCAACTGTTTATCAAGAAGCCAGTCAGGAGAGGCTGGGAAAGATTTTAGGAAGAAGCTGTGCAGTGAAGCAGGAAGAGAGATGGAGTAGCTTTAGAGACAATTAAGTGACTCGGGGTGGGTGGGCATTCTGTAACACTTTCCATGGCATGTGACAATGGTAGTCATATTATAGATTGGCTCAGAGGTCATCATCAGAGATATTTAATAAGTTAGGGGACGTATATTTGAGCTTAAGTTTAAGATTTCTTTTGTAAAGTGTTAAATCATTTATTATAAAATGTATTTATTAGTGCTTTTAAAACACCTGATATAGAATTTACGTTTTAGAAGATATAACTTTGTTATTTAAGAAAATGAGATTAGCATCCCAACACTAAATCTTATCCCTATTTTACACAAGGGAAACTGAGGCACGGAGCAATGACGTGACTTGCTCACAGTACGTTTGTGGCAGAACTGGGAATAGAACCAAGGTCTTCTGACACCAGTTCAATGCCTAAGCCACAACATGCGGAGTGCTGCTTTGGGACTCCACATCACAAGACGATACATATCTATCTTTCTTGGTCGTATCAACTTCACAAAGAAACTTGCCCAGAGATAATGCAAAGGGGCTTGTTTTTCATTGCACATTAAACGAACTGTGCAGTAAGTGCAAAGAGTCCCAAGCTCAGAAGGTAATTAGAGGTGGGAGATCTGGGAATCTCTCGTATGAAGTGGGCATTGCAGGCTGGGCATGACATAGACAGGACATAAGCAGCCTCAGCTGTGTCTCAGGAGCATCACTTTAGCCCCAGGGCTCTGAATCCTGTTGTAACCACTGGTGCCTTCTATAGTAGGTTATTAGGTGTTACAAATGATTGGTTCAAATGCCTTGAGTTTGCAATGCCTCATGCCCCCTCAAAGCAGCTGTCTCAGGTGTTCTACAAGCAATGGATTTGCCATTTGGGTCTAATGCCTGTGGAGAGGTCTCTAGCTAAGGGTCAGCTGAACCACTGCAATCTTCAACCATTTCCATCCAAATGGGTAAAACACATTTCCCCCCTCATCCCCCTGCTTCCTCAAGCATCACGGCTGTGGCAGTTCAGCTGCTGCTCATAACCCCGTCCCCAATGCAGTGCCTCACATATGGAAGTTAGCCAAACCTTCCTCCCCATGCAGCACTGCCCAACACTGTAGGGTATTTGCCCCAGGAGTCTGAGTACAGGTTGGGTCTGAATGCACCAAAATGGTTCTGTGAAAAACAGCCTGGGCAAAGATAAAATGTAGTGAAGAAAAAATGATGCAACAATCCACATCATGCAAGTAATGCTGCTGCTGCAACAGCTTCCTTGCTCGGTATCTAGAGGAAGAAATATGCTAAATATGTCCAAAGGCTCCCTCTTCCCTGCCAAGCTCTTTGAAAGCAAGTGGGTCTCAGACAGACACCTCCCCCATTTATATAGTAGGGGACTATTTTTGTTTAATGTGAAAAACTGTTACCTTCCTGTTGTGGCCCATTATGGGTCTAGGTTCCAGGCAGCCACTGATGAGCATCTCAGCCAAGATAGTGAGTGACTAGTGATTTAGGGATGTCCAACTTGAGATCTGGTTTGCAGAAGGTGGGTGCCTGGCCCTTTCTGGAAATCAAGCCCCTCTAAAGCATCTCACATTGAGCGCCCGCAAATTGCTAGTCACTTTTCTGAAAACCTTGGTCTTGTCCACGCTGGGAAAAAGCCCCACGTCAGAAGGCTTACTAACAAATCCTATGTTGAACGTGACTTGGCACAGGGGCAGTCATATTTAAAAACATGTTAACTGACTGTGGTTAACTCAATCATAGTCAAATATATGAAAGCGAAGCAGAAGGAAATCAAAAGCTATTGGATTTACCTTAGCCAAGTGCTCCAACGCAGAAGCTCCATATGGTTTACATTGCCATTTTAATGTTTTTTTCACCCCAAATCATAGTCAGCCAAGAATGAGCAACTAAGGGGTTAGAAAGCAATCAAAGTTTCTTGGGCTCATATGCAATGGACCAATATAATGTACCAGTCTGAGTTTATGTGAGAAACACTAAACTAAAATAGCCACACTAAGCTAATGGCTCTCTGCATTTACATGAGCAGAATTTGGGGTGCAGATGGGTTGAAGGCTGGGGTTCACATAACTTTGCTTCACTCTCTGGATTTCAAAACCAAGGTATATTTGTGTTACCCCAAGTAAAATCTGATTGCAGCCATGTCTCAGCTGTGTTGCCAGCTATCAGTACATTTATGGATTGTCCTTTTAAGAAATGTGAAAATTGCCTGCCAGTCCCTCCCCCCAACAAAAGGCATGCTGCATGCAAACAGCAGGATAGCCCAGGAAATGATTCTGCCTCCTTCCTCTGTTGTGCTCCAGTGTCTCAGCTGTGCAGTGCAGTAGATGAAGGCTGAGATCAGATACACCCACTGGTAACTCTCCAGCAGGAAAGCTTCCTTTTAATTAAAAGAACCTGGTGGAAGGATCTTGGGAAGAGTGATTGGAGTCTGCAAATAAGGACAAGTTCCAATCACAAGCAGAAGCGGGACAAAAAGCAAACAGCAAAATCCAAGAAGTGCTGATTTAAGGCTTAGCTTGGCAAAGCCTCATCAGGAAAGCGCATGCCTGGTTCCATTCCAGTGCCCAAATCCCCTAGGCACCTTGAACATGCTAGCCTAAGTCTCCAAACCATGGGCCAAATTCAGCCCTGGCTTACACCCCTTGCAGCTCTCAGAAGGTAAATGGGGCTGTCAGTGCAGAATATGGACCCAATATGAGTACTGCTATATTTTAATCAGCACTGAAGGTTTTTGGATTGGGGAAGAGGGGAAATCAGCAAGGGTGTAAAATCCTAACAGTAAAGAAGATGGAGCCTTGGTAAAATATATGAAGATTTTCAGGAAATATTTTTCCCTGGAAGTTTGCAACTCCATACAGTTCAGGGGCAAAATGTTCCTTGGAAGTTCCTATTTGCATTCAGCTCTACATTCAGCCAGTCCTCAACCAAGCTGGCTGTGTGTGGAGCCAAGGTGTAAGTGTGTCTTTTATGAGTTGATTAAATTAGTAGTAGTAGAATGACACGTTCCTAGTATAGTTCGCTATGCTATACAGCTATTTCAGAGCAGTCTCACAGTAACCCCTGCCCAAGTAGTAAAACTACCAGCTAATCCCCACAACTGTGAGGTATTAACCCCATGTTAGAGCTGGGGAGCCTAAGAGAGAATTGCAGGGATTGGCCACGCAGCAAACTAGTGACAGAGCCAAATCAGCTCTCCCAAGTTCCTAGTGCCCAGCACCATGCACATTCTTTTAGCCTCTCTGTTGCAGCATACACTGCTCCCTCCAAGAAGCAGGATTCCTGCCCCAGCCTTACAGAGAGACGCGGAGAGCATGAACAGGAACAGCCTCTGTGCTTTCATGAAGTCCTGTCCTTCTACTGTACCTGATACTGGGGTTTATTGCAGCTGGACAGCCCTCCTAGCCAGTGTTCAGACTCCAGACGTTAGCTCCATGCTGACAGTTTGCACTCAAGTAATCCTGCTGTGTTCCAAGTGCAAGCAAGACCATAAAGGGTCCTTCTAGGTTACTGTCCAAAGCTCCGCTCTCCCTCTGCCTCCCCTGGAATTTCTAGAGACAGAAATGGTCTCACTTCATCTCCACTTGGTTGCTTTTAAACATCAGTTTATGGCTGCTTCCTGTCTTAGGAAATGCCAGCCAGTGAGTATGCGTAAGACCAAGAAATGGAGATAAAGCAGTGGAGGCAGCAGGTTTATAATCACTTTCCTGCTTATTGCCTCTAGCAGGCCTTGCCTTTGTTTGAGATGGGGGTGTGGATTTGCATGTCCCTGCACAAATTAGCATAACCACATTTTAATAAAGCTTTGATGATAAAAATTTAAAGAGCCAATACCAGAAGAGAATGCGGAACAATCCTGGTATTTCTGCCCTCAAGCTGACCTGGCTGTGTGTATCTTGGCCAGGTTAAAGATTTCAAGTCACGTTGTACTTCTCTAGCATGCAGGTGTGTCGAGAGCATCACTGTGCAACACCACAGTGGGGCTTAGCCTCAGGGTGCCGCCACAATACATGTAATAATAAAAATAGTGGGAAAGGGCTATATTAGGAAGACACTATTTATTCATTATTATTAATTCTATTTTGGGAGAGGATAGGACAAAAAAAAGCTGATATCATCCCAAATCAATTTCTCTTCAGGTCTTTGATGAAATGTGACAACTACGATAAAAGCAGCCAGCATGGAAGCACTGAGAAAGACCCAAGTCTGCAGGTGTGTGAGTTACTAGACAGCTGAGATTATAGGAGGCAAACCCTCTGAAATGCAAGAATCCAGGAGCAGCCCAGCTGTGTGCTGGATTCCCCCATTCACACTGAGACAACTTCCATTGGCAAGAACAGAGATCAGCACCCCAAGAAGGGAGGTAGATATGAAGGGTTTAGGCCAGTTCTACATACATACATGGCCCCCCTACTCAGTGTACTATCAGCAGCTCAATACACCCGTGAGGCAGGGCAGTTCTATTATCCCCATCTTACAGATTGGAGACTGAGTCACAGAGAGACTAAGTGGCTTGTCCAGACTCAAACAGTAAATCTGGCAGAGCTGGGATTAAACTCATCTCGAGTCCCAGTCCAGTGTCTTAACCACAAGCCCAGCCTTCCACCCTGCTCAGTGCAATCAGAACCTTACCTCCTCCTGCTGTCCTACTGGCAAGTTCTGATGTTGTCATCTGTGATATCATAATGCAGGGGGAATGAAACATGCCATTAGGGGAACTAATTGACACTGAACCCATCAAAGCACAATTTGAACTCGTCTCTCACAAATCAGAATGGGGGAGTTTTTGCAAATCCAAGGCTGCTCTTGGCAAAATCAACTGGTGTCACCAGATCGAGCAGTATTAGGTCCATAGATCCAGATTGCCTTCTTCTGCAGAAAAGGAACACAGGAGGGGGCCAGGAAAACTTGAGGAACTTGATTTTGGAGCATTTTCACCAGATCACTTTACTAGGGTAGTAGGATTTGCCTCTCACTAGGAGATGAGCAGGGGATACACTCTCCAGAATGTACAGTTCTCCGGAGAGCTGCATGGACCTTGGAGGGGGAGGTTAAAGCCATCCATGCAAGGCCCATGACAAGTTCTGGCTGTCCCTTACTGACACCCTGGCAGCATGGCACAGACAGTAACATATCCTCAAGGATTCCTTGGTCTGCTGTTGCCCTGGTGCACCCCACCACCACCCCAGAATGAATTCCCACTGCATTAAGGGGCTCTGTTAAAAGTTAAAATAGCCTTCGAACTGAACACAGCAAGTCTAAATACAGCGTATGACAGAGGAATAATCTTCAGGTAATCAGAGAATAATCATATCCATTCACGGCTATGCCAACGTATCTCACGACTTATCAAGAATATTACCTTGTCTGTTTTCAGACGGAGATACCACAAGCTTCAGCATTTTATTCATATTTATGCAGTACCACAGGTGGGTATAGAGACTTACAGATGAGTAAAAAAGCCAGGTCCCCATCCACATCTTCACTGGATACAGCCCAAAGAGCAGGGGAACAGGTGGTTTATGGGAAGGGATGAGGGTGATGATGGTAAAATCAAGATATACTTTTTGGTGTCTACATGGCTTGTTAGTGCCTCTTATAATTTGTAATATAAGCTAGTATAATTTGAGGTAAGAGTGGAGGGTTAGTTCCAGAAGGCTACATGGAAGGAGTGAGTCTTGAAGAGGGGAATTATGGGAATTATCTCCATTTGTTGATATCCTCAGGTGGATGGTACTGGATGAGTGGGACATATGCTTGCAGTGAGTTCTTGACAAGGACGGAGAAAATGCATGTTGACTGGTGAGGAGCAGTGCAGAGTGATATAATGGGGCATCTAGCTGCTGGGAATTGGAGTTGTCATCTTAATTCTGTTCACACATGAAAATGAACCTAGTACTCTCATCCTTGTCCTCATGTAGGCACATCATAAAGCTGCCCTGTAGTTTCTGGCCTGACTTAGGACTGGACAATGGTGGGCGAACCTCAAGTCCTGTCCTCTCCTGCAATAGACCACAGCTGTATCTGTGGACAGTTTGCATAGCACTGCAATACTACAAGCCCCATATCAATTAAAAATCCCATATCTCCAAGAGGCGTTTAAAGCTTATCTTGAAGTGACATTAGGGCTCAAGAATGCTAAGTTGCCAGCACCAAATCTCGTTCCGCTCAAAGCAGACAGGGCACAAATAGGAGCTTCCTCATGTTGCTCCACCAATGTACTTAACCACTCCTCCTGGAAAGGGGTGCTCAGTCTCCATAGCCATTCACAGCTGCCACTGAGACCATTAGAAGGTGCTAATGAATTCCACTTACAATCATGGAATTGGATGGGCTATGAGGGCCTGCTAAAGGGACAGAGCCATGCATCTCATTCCATGGGTTCAAATCCTCTTCAGGTTAGTATTAGCCAGATCTTACTGTAAATGTTAAACAAATACAATGTTACATTTTCATACACGCAACTTCACACTTTCTCTCCTCACTTTTTCAAACAAGCCCTTTCCTGTGGCCCCTTGTACATGGGAAGAGCTTCCCATAAACCCCTGCAGTTACCTCATTATCCCCCTTTCATATCCCTCCTTAAAACTCTCCTCTGCTGTGATGCCTACAAAAACTGGTAACTGTGTGCTGTAACCAGCATTGTCTCACTGTCCACTTGTGCTCCCTCAGCTGTCTGTCTGTCGCCACCTGTTGCCCCTTGGCTTAGATCATAAGCTGTATGAGGCAAGCACTTTTTTGTTCTGTTTGTACAGCCCAGTGGGGCTCTGGACTGTTATTGGGGGTGCTACTGCAATATAAATAATAGTTATTCAGTTGCCTTTGGGATGGGAGCTAGTGGTCTCAGCCCATTTCTCAATGGGTTCTGTTAAAGAGAGCCACCACCACAATCAGCATCCTTGTTTGCAGCCTCAGTAGAGGAAAAATCACAGGAGTGACTGTGCACAATGAGTTATCTGCCCTCTGGGCTTAGAGCAATTGGGGCTTTGATATTAAGAATATTTACCATTCTTACTGGTTTTATCAATACTTGTGTGCATGGAGCCCACAAGAGAAATGCATTACAAATAGTGAAGGGATTGGTTAGATAGAAGCATTGTTAAAGATACACCCACACAGTCAGAATTCAGTCACAAGTATATTGGAGAACAGGTCATTCCCATGTATAGTGTATTTCTCACAGCCCGTGCCTTGCACCGATTAGCACAAATTCAATTTCCAAATTGACCTGCCTCAGGCTGTGTCTACTTCACTGAATTTTACTGGCGAGAGATAAGTTATATAAATATTTTTACATGTATTGCACAATACATTAATATATGGTAACTAACTGGTTTCACAGTAAGACTCGAAGAAGTTAAATTTACCAGATCAGATGTCCAATACACTAGGGTAAACATAGGCGTATGTGAATGACAAAGCCACGTCTCTGTATTTAATAGGAACCAGGATGTGAATCATGATGCTGTCTGAGTGAAAATATTGACAGGTGCAGAATGTCACCAAATTCTTACCTTGCTGATCAAGAAACTGAAAGCAGCTTGGAGCAAGTAGTACAGAGTTCACTGTCTGGCTCACTCACATATTCAGTTAACTCTTTACTCACCTGGGGTCTGAGTGCCCTCCTGCTTTGGATTTTTAACTCACGGGCCCTGTTTAAAAATAAACCCCACCCCAACCAGAAAATCCAGTTTCTGGCTAAGTGAAAACCAGTTTGGGCCAAATTGGGCCCCCCCTGGTTCACTCAAGCCTTCAGTGACCATTTAAAAGCTTGTGCATAAGGTCAGTGGGGTTGCAAATGAGGTACAAGTCGGCTCTGGTTTGATAAGTTCTCACTACTGGTGACAACTACCCGTGAATTAAGAGACTGAAAACGTCAAACACTTCTCTGGATGGGGTAAAGGAACCTGTGATGAAATACACGGTTGTTTGCAAGATGCTCAGAAACCGTGATGGTGAGAGATGTACAAATGTCTAGATAGTATTACTGTCTTCTTTTACTATCTCTTCTATAACTCTTTCCTTCCATAGATCTCCAGTGCTTTACAAAGGTCAGATCATTATCCAGCTGGAGAAGCCCAACAGAGAGGCAAAAGCAACGAGGAGTCCAGTGGCACCTTAAAGACTAACAGATTTATTTGGGCATAAGCTTACATGGGTAAAAAACCCCACTTCTTCAGATGCATGGAGTGAAAATTACAGATACAGGCATAAATATACTGGCACATGAAGAGGAGGGAGTTACCTTACAAGTGGAGAACCAGTGATGACAAGGCCATCAAGAGGCAAGAAGCTTGCGTGAAGACACCCAGCAGGCCAGCTGCAGAGGCACTATTATTTTTTAGATGATAAAAATAGATTACAACAATGCAGTCAGAACCAAGGCCATTGTGTGGGGTACTGTACAAACACAGTAAGAGACAGTCCCTGCCCCAACAAATTAATTTATCTAGATTGGTGGTTCTCAACATTTTCCATCCTGGGACCTCCCCCACCTACTTGGGACCTAGCCAGAACCCCCTTCTATTCAGCAGTTGGGAAGAGTGTGGTGGTCATAACCCCTGTTTGTGACCCCTAGATTGAGAAACCCCATTCTAGTTAGATTTCACATTTTAAAAGAGGAACTAACAGTGTGTGTGTTACAATTAGATACTTCATGATCTTCACCATGGTAACCCTCATCCTTCTAGTCCCCCATCCTTTGTTTATTGGCGACCCCTGCTGTGTCATGTCGAATCAACTGTAAGTCTCTTGGGGCAAGAACCGGTCTCATCTACAGAACACCACCAGCACTCCTGCCACTGCATGTCCATCATCATTATGAGCAAGCCATAGGGCACCAGGGCAGGATTCCTTTGTGTATGGCTTCCACAAAAGGGAGCTCCTGTGCACAGTCTATGACAAGCTTGCTCAACTTTGCTAATGAAAAGATTGTGTGGCAGCTAATAGAAAGTTCACTGAAGGTCAGAGCAGAACAGCGCTGTGTTCCATGCAGGGCCGGCTCTAGGTTTTTTGCCGCACCAAGCAAAAAATGTTTTGGCTGCCCCCAACCCCAGCCCTGGGCTGCCCCCCTGCCACCCCAGTGCTGGGCTCTCCTCCTCTCCCCCGCCCCAACCCCACCTGCCGCCACAGCCCTGGGCTCTTCCCCCCGCTCCCACCTGCCGCCCCAGCCCTGGGCTCCCCCCCCACCCCACCTGCCGCCCCAGCCCTGGGCTTCCCCCCCCCTCCCCCAAGTGCTGACTCCGCCCGCTTCCCCCTCACCTCCAGCCAGGCTGGCACTGGCAGGGTTGGGGTAAGCAGCGGGGCTCCTGGGCCGCGCCTCAGCCCAGGGTCCCTCCAGCCAGGGCTCCCGCCTCCAGGACCGGCCGGGACCTGGGAGGGCAGAGCTTGGGGGACCATCCAGCAGAGGGCTGAGGAGCTGGGGCAGGGCAGCCCCAGAAGGAACGGAGCCCCGGAGAGCGGGATGTGGGCCCCGCACGGCAGTGCCCCGGGCACCAGTCTCCTCTATGGCCCCGCAGTTGCTGCTGCTCCTGGTTGCCCTGCTGCAGTCCCTGGGTGGCTCGGGCCACTTTGCCCAGCCCCAGCTGTGGTGCTGGGGAGCAGCTGGCCTGCGGCACCTGCAGGCAGCTCCGTACGCCCTCCGGGGCAGCCCCCAGCCCAAGTGTGCCGCCCGGCCATAAGGTGCGAGCACTGCTCCTTGACGCGAACCGCAGTGGCCCCAGGGCACCCCCCATGCAGGACGCGCTGCTGCCAGGGCCGGCTCTAGGCTTTTGCCGCCCCAAGCAAAAAGGATGGCCGGAATGCTGCTCCTGAAAATGTGCCTGGAGCCGGCCCTGGTTCCTTGAAATCCTGGTGAGTGATGGCTGCTCTGTATTTGGCCCCATAATTTTCTTAAATAGTAGGATTTACCATCCAGTTTCCAATGAACAAACAATTTTGTGTTTCCTGGGTTCTAAAGTAATCAGAAAGTAGACACTTTTAAAAGGAACGTCACTTACTTTTCAGGGCCACGTGGCCAAACCATAAATATTACTCACGTGATGGCTCTAAGCAATGGCATTGAGCAACAGCTCAAACAATAGTTTGCAGAGAAAGTGACCATGAGATGGTAGAGTTCAGGATCCTGTCAAAAGGAAGAAAGAAGAGTACCAAAATACGGACCCTGGACTTCATAGAAGCAGACTTTGATTCCCTTAGGGAACTGATGGGCAGGATCCCTTGGGAAGCTTATATGAGGGCGCAAGGAGTCCAGGAGAGCTGGCTGTATTTTAAAGAAGCCTTATTGATGGCACAGGGACAAACCATCCCGAAGTTCAGAAAGAATAGCAAATATAGCAGGCGACCAGCTTGGCTTAACAGTGTAATCTTCAGTGAGCTTAAACTCAAAAAGGAAGCTTACAAGAAGTGGAAATTTGGACAGATGACTAGGGAGGAGTATAAAAATATTACTAGAGCATGCAGGGGTGTAATCAGGAAGACCAAGGCACAATTGGAGTTGCAGAAGGCAAGGGATGTGAAGGGTAACAAGAAGGGTTTCTACAGGTATGTTAGCAACAAGAAGGTGGTCAGGGAAAGTGTGGGACCCTTACTGAATGGGGGAGGCAACAGTGACAAACGTGGAAAAAGCTGAAGTACTCAATGCTTTTTTTGCCTCCGTCTTCACAGACAAGGTCAGCTCCCAGACTGCTGAACTGGGCAACACAGTATGGGGAAGAGGTGAGCAGCCCTCAGAAAGAACAGGTTAAGGACTATTTGGAAAAGCTGGATGTGCACAAGTCCATGGGTCCAGATCCAATGCATCCAAGGGTACTGAGGGAGTTGGCTGATATGAATGCAGAGCCATTGGCCATTATCTTTGAAAACTCGTGCCGATCGGGGGAGGTCCCAGACGATTGGAAAAAGGCAAATATAGGGGCCATATTTTAAAAAGTGAAGAAAGAGAACCCAGGGAACTACAGACCGGTTGGCCTCACTTCAGTCTCCGGCAAAATAATGGAGCAGGTCCTCAAGGAATCCATTTTGAAGCACCTGGAGGAGAGGAAGGTGATCAGGAACAGTCAACATGCTTGATCAACCTGATTGCCTTCTATGAGATAACTGTCTCTGTGGATATGGGGAAAGCGGTGGATGTGATATATCTTGACTTTAGCAAAGCTTTTGATACGGTCTCCCACAGTATTCTTTCCAGCAAGTTAAAAAAGTATAGATTGGATGAATGGACTATAAGGTGGATAGAAAGCTGGCTAGACTGTCAGGGTCAAAGGGTAGGAGATCAACGGCTCTAATTCTAGTTGGCAAGCGGGTCAGCCCTGGGGCTGGTTTTGTTCAACATCTTTATTAATGATCTTGATGATGGGATGAATTGCACCCTCAGCAAGTTCGCAGATGACACTAAGCTGGGGGGAAGAGGTAGATATGCTGGAGGGTAGGGATAGGGTCCAGAGTGACCTAGACAAATTGGAGGATTGGGCCAAAATAAATCTGATGAGGTTCAACAAGGACAAGTGCAGAGTCCTACACTTAGAAAGGAAGAATCCCATGCACTGCTACAGGCTGGGGACTGACTGGCTAAGCAGCAGTTCTGCAGAAAAGGACCCGAGGATTACAGTGGCCGAGAAGCTGGATATGAGTAAGCAGTGTGCCCTCACTGCTAAGAAGGCCAACGGCATATTGGGCTGTATTAGTAAGAGCATTGCCAGCAGATCAAGGGAAGTGATTATTCCCCTTTATTAGACACTGCTGAGGCAACACCTGGAGTATTGTGTCCAGTTTTGGTCCCCCAACTACAGAAGGGATGTGGACAAATTGGACAGAGTCCAGCGGAGGGCAACGAAAATCATTAGGAGGCTGAGGGAACTGGTGTTATTTAGTCTGCAGAAGAGTGTGTGTGTGTGGTGGGGGGGGGGGAGATCTGATAGCAGCCTTCAATTACCTGAACGGGGGTTCCCACAGAGGATGGAGCTAGGCTGTTCTCAGTGGTGACAGATGACAGAACAAGAAGTAATGGTCTCAAGTTGCAGTGGGGGAGGTGAAGCACTGGAATGGGTTACCTAGGGAGGTGGTGGAATCTCCATCCCTAGAGGTTTTTAAGGCCCGGCTTGACAAAGCCTTGGCTGGGATGATTTAGTTGGTGTTGGGGGATTGGACTAGATGACCTCCTGAGGTCTCTTCCAACCCTAATATTCTATGATTCTATGACAGAGGCAGACTATAGGAATAAAGCTCTCAGAGGTGGTACCCTCCTGTGGAAAAAGATTTTGAAAATACCTGCTTATCTGAAGTATCTTTAGGCACAAGGGAGAAGAGACCTCTCTGGCAGTAATGGCTCAGCAATATCCAAAGAGTGGGGTGAACGCTACCCGAGGTAATGAAATCCCCTATCCCCCCATTACAGTCCAATACTGGGTATGATTCACTTATGGAGAGCACCTTCTTATTCTAGACTCTTCTTTGAAGTTTCCTTCAGCTGAGTATTGTGTCCAATTCTGGGTGCCACGCTTTGGGAAAGAAGTGGACAAACTGGAGTGTGTCCAGAGAGCAGCACAAACAATAAAAGGTTTAGTAAATCTGGCCCATCAGAAAAAGTTTTTAGAGGAGCGGGAGGGCTAATAGTCTTCAAATGTGTAAAGGGCTGTTATAAAGAGGACAGGGATCAATTGTTCTCCATGTCCACTGAAGGTAGGACAAGAAGTAACAGACTTAATCTGCAGCAATGGAGATTTAGGTCAGATACTGCAAAAACCTTTCCAACTCTCAGGGTAGTTAAGCTCCGGATCAGGCTTCCAAGGGAGGTTGTGGAATCCCCGTCACTGGAGGTTTTTAAGAACAGGTTTGACAAACACCTGTCAGGGATGGTCTAGGTATACGTGGTCCTGCCTCAGCACACTGGGTTAGACTTGATGACTTCTAAGTCCCTTTCGGCCCCACATTTCTATGATTACATCAGCCTCTGTCACCTTCAGCATTTTGTAGCAGCCTGGCAGAAATACCCAGACTGAAGAATCGGCGTTAAGAATCCTTCTGAAGTCCTGAATGTCACAAAGGAGGAAGGCTATATCCACACCTTTGAGACTGACTCAGGAAGTCACCCAGGAATCAGCACCAGTTGAACTGAAATCCTTTGCTCCAGAGCTTTTCTCTTATTCATACACATACGGATGACATTTTTGCTATGGAAAGGAAGGTGGAAGCAGTAGGAAACTGCCAGATTTGGGAGTTATATCTCCATGTGATTTGGAGGGTTCTGCATTAGGGTATGACGCTACATTCACCCAAATTAACAAGGACAGTGAAATTTTGTGCCACAGAGTAGACTACCTCAAAACCAAAGGAGAGGAGGAGATATTTTTGCTTGGATGGCATATTGGAGAACATGGCATCAGGAACTTTGCAACTTTGTTCTTGCTGGATGTTTCATAACTTTGCTTGAAGCAATGGGTCCACTGGATCCCATTATTTGGTGTCACCTAGAAAACTTCCTGATGGTAACTGTGCTGCCAAGACTTCTTCTAGGATTGGTTATGTGTGAAGTTTAGAATATGAGGATTTACATTCTGAGTGTGCTAAGGAGAATACAGAATCTGGAAAACATATTTTCTTATTGTACAAGTGCATTATTCAAACAATGGAAAAGTTTAATGGTAAAATCCCAACTGCATTAGCTAGTGAGGTACCAGGCCAAACAAAAACAGAATACAGAATGGTATGTACACAATACAGAACAGAATACAGTGCCCTCTGAATTCCACTCCTCATCCTAGCTTTAGTAAATGATGGGCTCCAATACCACAACAGTGGATATGGTATAAAAATCAGAAGTAGGGTGAATGTTGACGATGCCTTTACTTTAAAGAAGACTACCCTTCTCACGGATCTCTGAATGCCTCTGCCGCAGCATAGCAGGGAGTTGCCACATTCACTGTAAGCTATATTTTGTTATGGCTAATTCTGGGGAAGTCATGAGGCAAATTAAGTCACAAATGTGGGGGAAGTAATGTAAGGCACAGATTTAGGCCTCCATAG